GGGTTTAGGGTTTAGGGTGTTTCAGACCGGTCCGGGCGTTCATGGACTTGGGGATGGCTGCACTCGACAGCAGCGTGAGCGTGCACACCCCAAAGCGGTTAGCACACCTGTACTACGGTTTAGGGTTTTGGGTTTAGGGTTTTGGGTTTAGGGTTTTGGGTTTTGGGTTTTGGGTTTTGGGTTTTGGGTTTAGGGTTTTTTCTGGGTTTAGGGTTTACTACTGTACCCCAAACCCTACAGTACCCCCCAAAAGCAGATAAATTAGGGTTCAGGGTTCAGGGTTTGAGGTTTAGAGCTTTAAGGCTTCCGGTTTAAGTCCCTGGAAATGCACACAAGCCCACAGCCCCTCAGCCGTAAAGCCCTGTCAAACGCCTGGAAGGACCAAGAAGCCACATAGAGTTCGCACAACACCCGGTCCAGAAACCCTAAACCCTGAACCCTAAACCCCTAAACCCTAGACCCTTAAGCCCCTAAACCCTGAACACTAAACCCCTAAACCCTAGACCCTTAAGCCCCTAAACCCTGAACCCTAAACCCTGAGCCCTCAACCCTAGACCCTTCAAGCCCCCTACAGAACCCTAAACCCCTAAACCCTAGACCGTAAACCCTAAACCCTAAACCCTAAACCCAAAGCCCCTAAGCTTTAAACCCTGAACCCTAAGCCCAAACCCCTTATGGAACCCTCAACTTTGCGGGGGGAACTCCAACATGGTCTGAGCTTCTTTTCCTAAATTAAAGGAAACTACAGGTGGGGAGTTTAGGGTATATAGGGCTTCTATAAGGCTGCCATAAGGTATGTAGACCTTCTATAAGGCTCCTATGACGGTAACTACCCACATGAAAATGTCCTAGACTAAAGTCTTTCTCAGGTCTTTGTCGGGGTGGTCCTAGGGTTTCAACCGGGTTCCACAGGGCCTTGTAGGGTTTTGGGTTGTGGGGCTTTTGGTTGCGAGCTTTTGCGAGTTGAGATTTCAGGGTGTAGAGTTGAGGTTAAGCTGACAGAAACCCTAAACCCTAAACCCCTAAACCCCTAAACCCTAAACCCGAAGCTCCTAAACCCTAAACCCCTAAACCCTAAACCCTAAACCCCTAAACCCCGAAACCGTAAACCCTAAACCATGAACATCAAGCAGGCCAAACGCAGACACCAAAGGCCGCAGTGTCATACAAAATCTAATGTAAGGGCCTTCATAATTTAAAGCTTTTGGGGTATATTTTACTATTATCATAACAAAGGACCCACATAAATAGTATGGGTAATGTTTAAGCCGAAATATTACGTGGCAACCCGAGACCCCAAATTCCCAAACTTCGAAACCCAAAAGCCCCGAACCCCTTCCGAAACCCCACAGTCGTCAAGAAAGAGCCGTGAGGGAAAGGTGCCTCTATGGTCTAAATTGGGGGCGGGCGGGGATCGGGTTCGGGATTCAAACTTTCATGTGCGGGTTTAGGCTTCAGGCTTTTATGGTTGGCCTTTGCATGTACCCTTGTTACTTCAATTGTGGGATCTACACCAAGAGCACGAAGTACCAAATCCTAGACCGTAAACTGCTACAAAGCCTCTAATATAGTACCCTAAATAGTAGGATCCTTATTCTAAGGATCCCTAAATAAGGTACCTCTTATTTTCGGAAACTCCCCTGCCTCCTTCGCGCCAGCGTTTGTCCAGGCCTTTCGCTCTTGGTGCAGCTGGCCTAAACCCCAAACTGGGCTTCTCTTACTTGTCCAGGAAGTATCCTAGGGGCACTAAAAGGGTCAACCTTTGGGAATATATATATATATATGCACATACAGACTAGTTATGGTCCCCTGAACAAGGTTTAAAGGTTACCTACTCTACTACTAAGTCTTTCTACGGAACCTCCATCACGGGCATACACATAACTATTCGAATCTTTATGCTTCCCTAGTATAGCAAGGTAAATTAAACGCTCGTCACAAAAACCCAGCAATCCCTGAACGGAGACTCTTTGAAGCTCGAGGCCTGCAGTCGAAAGCCACGACTCCTTTGGACTTAGAAGCTATTCGGAGCATTCATAAACAAAAACACCCAATACCCTTTTTGTTTAGACAATGTACTATACCTTGATTCTGAAGCAAAATCAAGCCCTTTGCAATTGAAGGTCTATCCCTTCATCAAGTTACTGGGCTCCCTGGGTTGCCACGTTCAGGGGACCGAAATGTGATGAAGCTCAGCGCCTTAGCTCCCTAGCTGCCAAGAGCGGATACATTCACCGCAAGAGGGAAGAATAGTTTTGAGCAGTCCGACACGTGGAATCCTAGAAAACCCGGAAGAAGCACCCTAAACCCTCAACCCTAAACCCAAAACCCTAAACCCTCAA